ATATTTTTAACATTGAAATAAATCACCCATGCTGGATCAGTATGGATGGTGGGTCAGGTTATACTTCGATGAATAGGTCAGGTTAAACATAACCTCATCTTCTCTGTTTATACCAGAAACAATTATAGGAAGAATAAGTGACTTGTGTACAAATTGATTATAAACAAGACACACAAAGTCATCTCCACAAATTTGTGGAGATGACTTTGTGTGTCTTGTTTATGAAACTATTCACTCCACTTCGAGATACCATGGACTTTTACCATAGATTACAAATTGATTATTAGGTAGGAAATTAACGTCTCCTGGTATCACGAAAGAAGAGAAAATCAGACATGACATGTGAAAAAATTAAAAATAATAAAAACATATATAATTGATTCCTGGATGGTGGATGTTATGAAATATACTATATTCAACATTATATAAAATGGCTTTCAATTTTTTTTATAATCCGAAACATGAAATCTACATGCAAATACTTGGGAGACGGAGAGGTCTTGCCTGAGAGCTATAGATCGTTCACAAAATCTTTTCTCATTCCTCCCTCCCTCCCTCCCCCCCTCCCTTCTAACTTTCAGGGCAGGGTGGTTGAGAAATCAATATATTTTTGGAAATCAGAAAAGTAACTAGAATTTTAGTTTTTCAAAAGGACCACCCTGAATATCAATGCATTTTCTATTTCCACATTGCATACTTGTCAAGTTTTGTTTGTCGAAGATTTCATAAATTCATGTTCAATCAATAGGAAGGCTCCCTTTTGTTTACGTTGCTCATAGATAGCAATGGAAGATTATCACGATAATTTGTTGGAACCCATTGACTTGATGGAATGAATAAGTGATAATATTTTTGTGTAAAATTAAGCGCCTTATACCTATTGGCAAAATTAACTCAGTTTCATTATTGAAAATATTTAGATATATATCAGAAGTCATGGTTGAAAACGAATCAACTTTTTTAATGTTCCTGAAATTTCATTAATAAACCTCATTAGTAACTATAACAAGTGAAATCAACTACAAGAAATTATATTTAACAGTCTCTAGAAGAAACAACATTATATGTATTATGTATATGATTTAAAAATGATCATCTGATTATCTAATTTTGGTTTTTTTTTTAGTTGCTCTTTCATAATTTTCCCTGCTATAAACATGTATGTTTCTTGGGAATAATAATAATAATAATATTTTACTGAACTTATAGGAAATATGTTTTTCGAAATTTCATTTGAATTTATGTAGATTAACCTATCTGGTTGAAAACGAATCAATATTTTCAATATTCCTGAAATTTTATCAATAAACCTTATTTACCAACATGTTATCAACTTACATTGTAAAAATATACTGCGTAATATTCAACTAAACTCATTGGAAATATGTTTTTTTCTTTAGTTTCATTCAAAACTATATAATATACATAATAATATGTGATTATGGCTACCAACATAATTGACGTTATAAACGTGAACAATTTTATCACTCAAACACGAGGTTGGTTGGTCACGTGTTGGTTCTGTTCTGTATTGGTAGAGCAAGTCCGATAAAATTCAGTAAACACAAAATATAGCTCTAATACAGGAGAATCCGTGAAAATGGACGAGCCTGATTGGTTTTCGAGAACAAGAGTGGAATAGTCATTCGTAAATCTGTATGAATTTTATCAAATCGTCTACGGGTTATGCTGCCACATCAAACCCTCTATGTATGATGAATAAATTATGCAGATACCTGTTTTAAGCTGTTCCACTTATTTCAACATCAGTCAAATATTGTTGATGAATCTGACAGGGTAACTTGATGATGATTGATAAATTCCGATGCAACGGTATTTATATCAAATGAAGTTCTGAACAGAACCATTCGGGTATTGACAATATTGATACTCTATAGATTTCTGTATCAAAACACATTGCGTTACCTACTCAAGGTTCTGTCTGAATGATGAAAGAAAAATCTGAATTGTCATGTAGAAATTTCGAATATGATGGACAGATGGAAGTACAATTGATACAATATGATAGTCAAGCATTCCACACAGAAAAATCTCCGGCAAAGTGATATTGCACTGCAAATACTATAGGAAATAGCCGCGAAGTACTAGTCCTCACACATAGTGACGTTTTCTTCACAGCTCAGTTCAAAAGTAGAGCATCCTTACATATATACAGTGCTTTCGTAAAGTACTAATAAATAAATTCAATTTTAGCCACATTATCCATTTATGAGGAATCCTCTGAAATAAGTGGATTTTCATTCTCAATTTGCCACATTTTCAAAGAAACTACACGAATTATTCATTATAAATCATTGAATTCAGAAGATTGCCTCATGAACATTAAATTCGACAACTCTAAGAGTACTTAACAAGATTTGTTCCTTCAATTCTCAACGGATCTATCCACAACTTCGAGAGATCACTTGTAATTCAACGGTTGAACTGTTCACAAACTTTGTATGTGAAATATTCTTGAATTCAGCTTTCCATGGTTATATAGAAAAAATAATGATATATATAGGGTATTCTATTTGAAATAATTGTCGCGAATGTCATACCTCGAACGTTATGAAAATCTTTGTATATTTAAGTAGATTCCTCGGATAGGAGAGCTTGGATGAAAATAATATATCCACCACTTTACAAGAGAACTCGATTAAGCGGAAACATTGTATACAGACTCTATCGTGCGATACAATTTATAGAATTCAGCTTTTCCATGAGATTCAGTCATAATTCAAATATTATATGAAGTGTTCCATTCGAAAAAATTGTCTCGGTCGTTATTTTTCGAACGTGAATAACCCTGTATATTGAATGTATTCTCATGCATGTGGTAAATTTAGAATTGAAATCGACCTGTTTCAGGAGATTCCTCAGAAATCCGAGAACTTTTCATACAGCCGATATCTCAGTTATGCTTGAGAAAACATTTGAAAAATACACTTCCGTTAAACCCAACTGACTTTGATAACATTGTCTTGAAGTCAGCAACTGTCAAACTACCTCTGAAACACTACCCCCAACTCAATTTTTCCAAAATACACATCATACATGTTGTTGATGATATGTGGTTTGCAATCAATTCTCACTTCAACGATGTATTACACTCGATTATTTGACTGCTGTCCATTTGACAAAATACTTATTTGGAGTTAACTTCAAATAAAGGTTATTGCCTCAGTTGGATGAACCTAAATACCAAAAGATGCGTGCGCACGAACAACTGTCAAAAATAGTATATTATGTAATAAGTGTTATAAACGTCCTTTTAGTAACGAGTATTTTAAGCACGAGCGGAGCGATTTTTTAATAAACGAGTGTCTAGAAGAGTTGATAAACGCGTTACATACTATGCTTTTTCTACGAACTCCAAAAATTACATTGACATACCTGCTATTCCTGCTTACCTACAAAATAATTGGAATGGAATGGGAATTGAGAACATAATTCATGCAAGTGGATGCAACCAGCGAGACACGTTCATTGTCATGCTTAGCGCAGAACAAAAAAATTGTTCTCAAAGATGAATTCTTAATTTTTACACTTCTGGGAGATATGTAAGTAGGTCTCCGATTTCACTTTCTCTACATTATATATATTTTTAATGAAGAATTCTGATACAAACGAGAATTGTTTGAATAATTCTGATACAAAATTCGAAAATGTTGACAGTCAATACAATTGACAGGCCAGAAATGTCTCGAATTACTGAAGCTTTGTTTAATGAACTGCCAAAGTAATGTGTTTCAGAAATCTTGTTGAAATGGTAACGAGTTTAATAATTTCAATGAATCACAAATCGTCAATCCGTGATCAATCGATCATTTAGCGTGGTACATATCCGTACGATAATAGTATATTATGTGTTATAGACGTCTTTTCAGTAACGAGTATTTTGAGCACGAGCGGAGCAGAGCGGAGCGAGTGTTCAATAGACGAGTGTCTAGAAGAGTTTATAAACGCGTTACGTTATGCTTTTTCTACGAACTCCGAAAATTATACTGACATACCTGCTATTCCTGCTAATCTACAAAATAATTCGAAAGGAATGGGAATTGAGAACATAATACATGCAACTGCATGCAACCAGCGAGACACGTATAAGTGATATTGGTTGTAGATGTGTCCACTTCATTGCTTACTAACCTTTGTTATTCGTTTATTGTCATGCTTAACGCACAATAAATAAACTGTTCTCAAAGATGGATGCTTCATTTTTTTTACACTTCTTGGGGATATGCAAGTACCAGAACATTCTCTTCGATTTCATTTTCGTCTACATTTTGCATATATTTTTAATGAAGAATTCTGATACAAACGGAAATTGTTTGAATAATTCTGATAAAAAATTTGAAAATAACAGTTGAGAGTTAATGAAATTGACAGGCCAGACCAGTCTCAAATTACTGAAGCTGTGTTTAATGAACTGTGTTGTCATGGTAATGTGTTTAAGAAATTGTGTTGCCATGGTAACGTGTTTAATATTTGAATAAATCACAGATCGACAATCCGTGATTAATCGATCATTCAGCGTGGTACATATCCGTACGCTAAATGCCATTTTAGTTAGGTGAGTAGAAAAACTCACTTGAAGACGCGTGCACGAAAATAAGATGAATAATATAACAAAAGAACTGATCTAGACCGCATATTGTTTTCTTCGGAGTACCACGTATGTCAAGACATCAAGTTGTGATAAATCGTTGAAGTTGAAATTATTCAGGGTGTGTCATGAAGAAATACAGTTGGGGATGGTTTTTCAGGAGAAATTTAACAGAAGTTGACTTTACCACGATATCTTCAAAGTCATTCGGGTTCATAAATGGGGTGATTTTTTTCATTTTCATTTTCATTCTCAGTCAGCATAACTGAGATATCGTTCTGGGGACAGAGGAACAATATGAAGCCGTAACAGCACCTCCGATCTTGTATACCAATATATCAGTGCGTAGTTTCTTTCAATATTTCCAATGGCATCAGTCTCTGTTACTCACCTGTTTGTTTCTCGGCCACGTTGAGGGTGAATCCTTCCAGAGCCACCTGCTCGCTTCTACCTTTGTTGTTGGCCGAGAATACGATCATCTTTAGCGTCTTCCCGGGATCGAGGCCGCTGACAATAAACACCGGGAACTTGGCAGAAACGTTGGCCAGAAGCGCGCCCGTTCCTGAATCGTATACTTCCAGAAGGAAGTATTGGGGCTGGCCTCCTGCAAAACGAGAAAAAGAAAAAAGGTGAGTGATTCGAGAAAAAGGAGTCCTGAGACGGCAAGTAATGCTGTGGTTAAGTGGTGGAACGAATTGGAAATGGTCGGTTTGGAGTTTGGAATGGATGTGTGAGGAAGGAAACAATGGAATTTATTCTCCTATCGGAACGTTTTACTACGATTCCCATGTTTGTTGTAGAGAAACGTTAGAGTATATGAGAGTATGTGAAAAATAAATTTTGGTGATCTATTCGATCCGAATGAATCGGTGAAATTATTGATACCAATGGACAACTTATATCGTAGGTATGCAGATGACACAGCTATCATCATAACAAGAGATTCTAGGGTGAATGTGTTCACGAACGCCGAAAAAGCATCGAATGGTATACAGCTATGGCTGAACAATAATTTATCGAGTTTGGATACTAAAAAAACAAATTCATGACATTCACTCCACAACAAGGTGGTCTGCCACAAGAAGAATCCCTGGGGATACATCGAGTAGGGTGTACCTCACCAAAATGTGCATGTCCTATAATAGAAAGATTGGGAAATATTAAATAGTCAGGTGTGATGATAGATCAGCGTTTAAGAACGGATTTTCACTGTGATTACTTAGTGAAACGACTCCGAATGTTGACACGGAGTTTTTATGAACTGAGGGATATTCTAGACATGTCTAGACAGTAAAAGTCTACTTATTATCCATATGGAACTAGCAGGATCTGTCCTGAAATTATGTATAACTGTTTGGGGTAAAATGTACAACAACACACTCTACCGGCTTCAATCTACACAAAATTCCATTTAGAAGATCATTTTCAAACCTGAGATTTTGTTAACTAAGAACTCCACAAAGATACAAAGCTCCTGAATATCAATGGTTTGCATTCATATCAATGACTTTTGTGGGTGTTTGATAACAAGAATGAGTTTGAAGAAGCGAGACATTGACACGATCGGTAAAGAATCTATCCATCAAAATTCCTAATTTCAAAAAGAGTCGAACGCAAAGGTTTATTTCTCATTATGGGCCTAAACTATAAAATATGCTCCCACTGGAAATAAAAAAAAACATGAAAATTACCATTGACAAATTTAAAATCAAAATTTATGTCACTGAATTATTAACTGAAATTTTCAACTATGCATTACTATGTTTCTATTCCTGATTTCGAATTCCATCCAATTTGATCTCAAATAACCACCTTGTAGTGAACATGTGAGCAACGATCGTATCAATATATAATAATAATTATTATATTGCTTCCCACACTGAAGCATAGAACACCAAGAAACACGCATTTACTTGCTTAGGTGGGTTCTGTCCTTCCGGTGGGGGTGTAATGTTATAATCTTATAATCTAAATTCATTGTATCACACATATTATCATGCATGAATCAAACTGAATCAGAATAATAGTTATTTATTATACAAGGGAAAAAAGTAGTAGATTTTAGCTCCAGGTTGTGTTGTCTCCCGACGCGTAGCGGAGGGAGACAACAAACCGTGAGCTAAAATCTAATATTTTTCCCGTGTATAATACACTATTTTTTTCTGTGACAGAAGAAAGGACGAATCAATATTGAGAAGATATTACATTATTTCGATATCTGAAAATCATCGACGTGAAATTTTAAGTTTTTAACAGTAGGGACACCGCGTTGTAAGCATCTTTATCATTCATTTGAAGTAATCAAATATCTGATGTCACTTCTGTCAGTCTAATTTTGTGATTTTATTTCAAGAAATTGCGAATTCAGTGGTTATTTAGCAATATACGTAACCGCGAAGTCGAATGGAAGATAAAAGGACTTGCAGTTCTTTCTCGGAGACAGTATTATTGACTCATTTTTCGGAACTATAGCACAACAAAAGCCATCAACAGTGTATATATATGGGATATATATCCGGGAAAGAAGTACTCACTTTTTTCCCACGGGAAAAAAGTAATTTATGAAAAGTGACATTTTATAACCTGCCAACAGGGATGAAATGCCAAACTTTTTTCCCGTCACAGAAAAAATATATAAAGTAGTTTTGGAAGAGATTATAATATCATTACGGATTATGGAGGACGTAATTTTCAATTAGAATTTGAAATATGTCATTGTTTCTGTTCTGAAACAATAGGTGGTCGTTGGTATTGTTTCAGTGAAATGAAAAATGGTATAAATGGTTGAGGTGAGGTGTCGAGAAAATACGTATAAATAATAAAAGATATGAAATTCACATGATTCAAGTTCAATCGTGCTGTGAAATGGAGAAGTTTTTCAAAACCCCTTATGGAACTAGAAATTAAATGTATGTTGAATATCTGTAATGAATATCTCAAAGCAGGCTATGTTATGTCTAGAAATTACATCCACATGTTAACATTATTTCTATTTCTCTTATACCTCTCAGTAGGCAAACAGAGAAATGCATCAGAAGAACAAGAACGATACTCCTAATATCATTTCAAGACCTCTTAGGTAAGTGCATATCACGTCTCAAAAAAACATCCTCACGTCAACATCTCAGAGATGTTTGTGCTCGCTGGGATAAGAGTCAACCAGGTATGGAAAATCTATAGATCAATGAAACTAATTAATATATTATTGGCAATAATTAGGATGATTATCCTTTTTACTAACTGAAAATTATACAACCATGGACAAGAAGAGTATATTAACAATCCACTTTCACATTCACTAAAAAGTCGAGCAACAAAAATCATCAGAATAACAATTACTATCGATATTCCCATTGGAATCAACATCAGCCTCAAATTACTTGGGATTGAATCGGAATTCTGATCTGAATTGAATGTTTAATTTCGATATCACTTATGTCCCAGTATAACGACTGAGATTTTTGCTTTTTTTATCCGCTGATATGTCTACGAACCCATCCGAAGCCTTCATTTGATATTTCGTCGAGAGCAGATGTAGAGTATTCAGAAGAATTCAACATCAAATCCTTCAATTTTCCATTGTCAATTGAGTATCAACTAGAGGAACAAAAATATAAAAATATTGATGAATGGAAAACATCACGATACTGAACACAAGTTATCGTATATTCAATATCTTCTTCCTGAAGGATTGCATGGATTGGCAATAATGATTCAGCTGATCCCACATTAAATTCTCTTACGGTGTTCATAAATAGCGTTCAATGGAAATATGAATAATAGATAATAATTCAAGAGGGCGAATCCAATTAAAATGTGTTGCTGTATGCAAGTGATCGAATGTTATTTATATCTCTCTGGAACAGTTTTAGGGATCAACCTCTCGAATGAAGATGGGGACGAGGGCCACTTACCATCGAGGCCCCCTGTATGCCTCCTACCTCATGTGAATCAATATTTATACGGCGCGTTCAGCTTGCCAACAGTAAAGACAATATGGAGACATGATACGCTGTTGAACTTTGAATAACTAGAGATCTCCATAGTACCGGTGAATACATGTTAATGAGTATTACGAATAGAAGTTTACTAATTCAGGATATTCAATCTGAATTGCTAGACGAAAATTCATTATATCCTAGATAGAAAGATGAGAGCTGATCACTCAATATTCCATATTATATTGCAACATTTTTCACGAATCGCAAAATGTAAGAAATGGAGAAGGATTGCAGGAAATCGAAAAAGGGAATGTTTTTGACACAAGGGTCCTTCCTACTGATCAGTTCATAATGATCAGACAATGAGCGGGATATAATGGCGAATAGAAATGAGTTATTATCGGTTCAAGATCGATGAAATTTGTTATTGGCACATTGAGATTACCAGAAGTTGAAAAAGACAATATCCTTTTGGTAAAAAGGGAGGAAATTATCTTTCTGAACAACTTCACTCAATCGTGAACAAACTGAATAATATTGATGCCTTCGTTTTGAAGCCTTGAAATTCTTATGAAACCGTCGGTTTATCCAAGCTACTTACTAATCATCGAAACCCATCATACTTTTTATCATGAAAAATGAAATTGGGTTGTTGAATTTGAGTGATCAAACATCCTTATATTTCTCTTGATAGAACTGACCTTTTCGACGTAGGATGCAGTAGAGATATTGCCACATGTATACAAAATTCGTCATATTCAAATTGTAGGAGTTATGTACAAAATGTCGAAGCAAATCTGTGGACGTATCATACTAAAATAGGTCAGAAAGCCAAAACTACTGCTGTGAACAATAGTTATTTATTATACAAGGGAAAAAAGTAGTAGACTTTAGCTCCAGGTTGTGTTGTCTTCCGACGCGTAGCGGAGGGACACAAAAAACCGTGAGCTAAAATCTAATATTTTTCCCGTGTATAATACACTATTTTTCGCTGTGACAGAAGGAAGGACAAATCAATAATGAGAAGATATTACATTATTTTGAAATCTGAGAATCATCGACGAGAAAGTTTTTAACAGTAGGGACACCTGCGTTATAGGCATCTTTATCAATCTTTTGAAGTAATCAAATATCTGATGTCACTTCTGTCAGTTTGTTTCTGTGATTTGATCTCAAAAAAATGCGAATTTAGTGGTTGTTTAGTAATATTCGTAACCGCGTAGTCGAATTGAAGATAAAAGGACTTGCAGTTCTCCCTGGGAGACGGTATTATTGACTCATTTTTCGGAACTATAGCACAACAAAAGCCATCAACAGTGTATATATATTGTGATATATATCTGGGAGAAAAATACTCACTTTTTTCCCACAGGAAAAAAATAATTTATGAGAAATCACATTTTATAACCTGATGCCAACAGAGATGAAATGCCAAATTTTTTTCCCGTCACAGAAAAAAACGTCATTATACAGTTTATTTCATTGAGTTGGCATCATAATATGGAAAAAATTTGTAATAACATCTGATTTTGAACTCTGTCTGTCTCTATACCGGGTGAACAACTATAAGAACGGCTGTCATCAAGCCTTTTTCCAACTTTGATCGTCTGCGAAAAGCATCATGTTGCAGTTTTCGTTGGTCTGTTGAGATTCATTTTGTCTATACGATCGTGCTATAATATGCATACATAACATTTCCAATTTCCAATCTATTGATACTTCAGATCACGCCGACAGCCGTTTTTTAGTTGTTCACCTGGTACATGTTAAAAGTGAAATTGTTCCTTTCTGAATTTCGAAAAACTTTACCATTTCAATGATGTGTCTCAAATTCAAACGTTTGATTGCAACTTTCGGTGCATGACATTTCTTGATTTCTTCTATTTATAACTTCGACTGACCTGTCCTAATCTCTGGTGCGATACGTAAGTAGATTGATTATATTTTGATGAATGACTTTGGCATCATCCCATTACGGAAAAAACAATTTAAACATTTTCGGCTTCTGGATGCTAGACGATACACCAGTTTGCATAAAACCTAATAAAAATTTTAAGTGAATGTTGTTTTTTTCTGGAGAAAATCATATTTTTGTCGACGATTAGTGATTGAAAGTTAGTAACATGATGAAGCTAGTGAATTCAAATAGTTTTAAGTCGGTTTCACTTTTTCTTGATATCACAGACATTTCGTAGAAATCGAGAAAATACCAGAAGCTGAAAGTTGAACGTTCAAATTCGGGACACATATGTAAAATTGGTAAAAGCAACTGTTCTTGGTATTATTCTTCGAAAACTCGATAAATAGATAGATGAGCCAAATTTCAGAAACAAATTTGAAGGAATGTCCCTTTTGACACGTAGATGTCACGTGACTCCCACCAAGTAGAACATTGTTCATATTTTCCGCAGCGCAATATTCAACGCCCAATTCGAATTCTGAATTGATTTATTATTGAAAGTATTTCCATATAATGCCAACCTCATGAAACACACTGTATATACGTTTAATATAGCATGAGTCAGTATTCCTCACTAGCACTCCGACAGTTCCAAAAACATACGTTTTCATGATGAAAATTCAGTGGCTCGTGTCGAATATATATACTGGATGTCAAAGTTCCAGATTTGCCATAGTGCTTTTCAAGTTTCCTCATATAAGAAGTGTTAATGAAACCTAGCGGCAAAACTTGAACAACACTTGGAATACTGGGTAACATAAGGTATCAGCTCATCCCCTGTAATTTCTACGTTCGTGAACGGTTTTTCCTGAATTTGGTACAATTATACAATCTTTGGTAGAAGTCCATATTGCTCAAAGTGACTCCGAGCATTCCATCCTTTTTTCCATGAATAGTTCAGGGTGAACAAGAGACCAAAATAGGCTGATTGAAATCAACTCACCACTATACGAAAATGCACCATTGAGCCGTCAAAGGGCGTTGAAGAATAATGTTATTTCCAGATTGTCTTGAACATTTCGAAATCCTGCAGAGGTACTGCTCGAAAATTCGTAGGGCACTTTGCTATCGTGAATGGTGTGCATGAAAAATATGTGGAATCAATTCAATCAATAGACACAGTATGAATTGAATGAAGCTCGAGTGGAGCTTTTCGTCAAAATATAAATTTACAATTTGTTTCATCAAGAACTCAAATTTTGTTAAAATTCTGTCGAAATTGTGTACATGTACAATATTTTGCATATTTCTAAGACATTTCTTATCCGTATAATTCGAATGGTTGAGTACCTACTCAATCCGGTGTCGATTGGATTGACACAAAGTTGTGTGGACTTGGAGTTTGAATTTACAAAGAAAATTACCACGTATAAGGAGATAGGTGCTTCGCATTCTCTTGGATAAAAATTCATATAACTTTTTCGGAGTACACCTGGTGACTACATTCTGATATTCTGATGGAAGATAAAATAAATTAGCCAACATTTTTGTTAATGCCGTTTCTTATGGTTTTCCTTAGATTTCGAGATATCTGACATGATGAATGTTTCTCCATACTTGTTCATGATGTGTCAGGATTATTATTATTCTTCCAACCATTCGACCAATCGAAACAGTGTATAATCTCAATTATCTCATTGTAAGGTTCTTTATTCTGGGGCCCTCACTTTGACGCTTGTCGAACAGGCTTCTGGGACCTGTCGGGGTGTCTCGAGCGCCAGATTTTTGATGAAGGTTATTCCCTTCACCTGCTTCCCCAAACTGAGTTTGAAAGAAGGCCCAAGGTAGCAACAGTGAAGAAAGACATCCAGTGGATGTCTACAGTAAACCAGGGGTCAAAGCTATTGAATCGACCTGGGAGCAGGGGGCCAAAAGAGCATATGCTTTAATTACACACACTTGGGGAATCCTGAAATACTGGTTCTGCTCTGAATAGATGTTTTGAGTCTTCACTTCTTGTGACATGAGTACTACAACTCTTACAGGTAGTTTTCTGGAACTTGAATTTGTTTTATACCTTTGTTGTCAGGATAGGGAAATCAGATTCACATAAACAGGTCGAGTATAGATTTATTCAGCTCATTTCGTTCATCAAAGGTTACAGGCATTGATTAAATGAAGCATAATCTTATACAATCAGGTTGATGTTATTAAATTGACCTTCACACTGAAAATTATGACATTTGACATACAGAATGAATCGGAATGAATGCAATTGACAGGCATGACGGCTGATGTATAGCAGTCACGAGGCACATGGTGTTCTACTGAGCATATGCATACAACTTTCACGAGTGCAATAACAAAGCGTGTCTAGTACGTTAGGTTTAAGTGCAGGCGCAAGCAAAGCAGGGACAATGAACCACCGAATACGACCGTTACAAGCGAAGGTCTATTCAGGGAAGTGAGTTTGGTATCGTCAGGATTGACTACAGGAATGAAATCGTTTAGTTAAATCATTAACACGGATCAAACTGGTGAAAAGTACTCCTTCAGAGTGTAGCTCTAACTCTGGCTCATAGCAGTATTCGGACGCCGTCTGCAGGTTGGCTTGCGTATTCTACTTTTCTCGAACGAAGGAGACGGGCCCTGAATCCACAGAGGCGGGCTTTCAATCTCGTCGTCTCCCTTAGCTTGTGGCGAGGTCCACCCAAAGGTCGAGCCGCAGAGCAAAGCTTAGGAGACACTACTATTTTCAAAACAGTATCTACGTTACCTATGATCTCTAAACTTCTGAATGTGGAGTATTCTTCAACAGACAAGTTATTGATCTACTCAGGCGATAGTTCACTAGATACAGAATTCATTTAGTACAGGGTGGTCACTGATAAACTACAAGCAATAAGCGTATGAAAACCAATTTGAAATAGCTTACTTGGATGAAACAGGAGTACTGCTGGCTGCGAAACACTTGACACTGCCACTGGCGCGACCGCGAAGTCTCGGATATCGGCACCGGAGACGCAAATCGAAACACTCGATGAATTTTTCGAAAAATAATAAAGAAATTGCAGCTAGGTTAGGATTTCTAAATTGTAGCAAAAGGCACGAACAGGAAAACGATATGCTGAATCTGGATTAACTGGACTGTGAAAAGTGACTGGAAGCTGAACTGGGAAGCAGAGCAAACTGGAATAACTAACTGAAAAACTATCTGGAATTGTGAACTGGAAAAATAGCGCAAGCACAGAAACACTGGTAAACCGACTGAAAAATGTAAAACTGTCGAACTCTAGAACTAACTAACTGCCGGACTAACTGCCTGCTCGCTCCGATGGACCGAGTATTTATGTCCTGCCTAGACCTCCTGATTGGCCAGTTTCGACTGACCACGTGAAGAAGCCGGTAACAACCTTGAAAGCCGAAGTCGTCCTTGGAAAATGAAAAACGCGAAAATAATATTTTCTCGGCCAAAAGGGCTCAGGCACATGATCAACCTCCTTTGCTGAAGCTACTGAATCAATATTCATGTCCTACAAGCAAAAATATTCAAGTTATTGCTAGGTGAATATTTGCATCTTCAAGGTCGAGGCCGAACATGTAGAAATTATGAATTTTCAGGAAATCTCACATTCAGGGGCTTCCAAAAGTTGCAAGAAGTCCTCTCGCATCTCCAAGACAGGATTACATTTCACTCTATTCATCAGGATTGCTCTCCAAACATAATAGAGGCTACCAAAGAACTTTCCGTACTCGAAGATCAAAGAGTCAATTTCTGGAGCTAGGACAGGGCTATAATCCTTAGTAGTTGGTATACGAGACTGATATCTTTCAGAATAGGTATTTCATGAGGAGGTGTGTAACGAACTGTATATTTTCTGTATATTTTCAATATCATCTATTAGTCTAACATAAGGTTAGTACCTGGTTTATAATGAAATTTGCCCACACTGTATTGTGTAGAACAACTGATTTTACTGAAATCTATGTCTGGAATTGGAATATAAATGAAAAAACAGGCATTCTTACATTAACCGTTCCTTAGTAATGAAGTCCTCAAAAATACTTCATTACACCAGAACATAAAAAAAATGGAATGCAGTTTTTTCAAAATAAGTGTTTTGATATATTTTGTTCTCATTCGAAATAACAGAACACTGATCATACAAAAACATCTTGAACGAGGAAAAAAATAATTTCATACACTAATGGGTTAGGAAGTTCGTTCACCACTTACCGTCAAAGCCCTCCGTGCATTCCACCTCCAGCGAATCGATAGTCATATTGACTATAGTGCAATTGTACGGCGGGTCCGGCTTGCCGGCAGGAATGATGTGGAAGACGCACGGCTCCTGCTGTCTTCCTGCCAGGTTGTTGGCCCAGCACATCACAGTGCCGTAGTCCATCTCGTTGAGGGGCGCGTACGTGAGGATGGACATGGAATTGTGCAGGCCCGATTTGTACTTGGCAGCCGGGACTTCCGTGGCCTCGGCCGAGTTGTTGAACAGCCACTTGAAGTCATCGGGCGGCGGGTAGGATTCCACTTCGCATACCACTTTGGCTTTCTCCATTTTGGCAACGCCGTAGACGCGTTTCTGGTGATAGCGGCAAATTGGTTTGTCTGAAAGTATCGTAGAAATGAACTTATCGTCATATCATTTGATGCACATATTACACCAATTCAACATTTGTCAGGGGAAATATTCAATTTTTTGTCTGGACCCTTGAACAATACAATTTTTCACAGAACTTACTATCATTGAAAATCAAATAGGACAATAACAGACGACAGGGTTCAAAATGCTACATTGTGGTACTATAACTATTAGCCATGAAAATATGATAATGCTCAAATTTCAGGAAAAACTATTTCAAGACGATGTCCCACTTTCGAACCGTGCTGCGTTTCTCTCTTTTTATTACTTTCTCAGAATTACCAGATCAAACCAAGATTATTTGAAACTCAATGAACAGGGTGATCAGTTCAGGGTCGCGAGCGGCTGAATCTCAAAAGATATTGGTCGTATAGATATGAGAAGGAAAAAATCATGCTAGAAGTCGCCAAAAGAAATTGCTGAAAATTATTTTCGAGTTTGTCAAACGTCCGCTAGAGGGCGTTACAACCAACACCAAGTAGAAAAATGGGATTTTTATGGAATTCTGTCTAATGGAAGTATATCGATGATATCATTTCCATATTAACTGACCATTTTCCTACATTTTTTGTTCAAAGTGTTTTGTTCTATTTATCAAAACAAAGCGGTGGAGGAAGTTCAATTGTTTTTTTAAACAAACCAAGATTTCTCCCCTTGATTTCGATCGATTTCAGCAAACTTAACTGAAATATTAGCAAATTTTTGGGTTAAAAAAAAACAAATGTAATGGTTTAATTATTTTCATATGTTTAAAAAAATGATGAATTTCTCTATAATTTTTATGAAAAAATTTCATCATCTACCTTTTTTTGAACCGTTGATATTGACCAAAAAATATAAATTTATCACATTAGAAAATGGCACGCCACTGTTTCTTATCAAAATAAAAAACAGTTTTGTAATCTCTTATGAGTTGCTAACAAAAAGAACCTCCTGACTTTTTTTCGTTAGACAAACGGTATTGGATTGAAAAAATTAAATGGTTTACATGGGGCGCCCATATAATGGGCGTGTACACCTTAGTAGAACTTTCAACTCAAACCATGTTTATAATGATCCTTTTTTACATAAATAATGATTGACGACATAATTCGATCGAAAAATTAACTGGAATGTTTTATTTTTGGACATAAATATAGTACCTTCTGAAAACGGACCCTTTTATGATGTAGAAACCTCATCTCGCCATACTTAAAAGAAAATACCAAACGCTCGACGGAGACTGAGACAACTGATATATTAATTCTTTCAACTGTGATCCCGCGCTAATTCACTCTGACAGAAATCATGTATCATTCATCTCTGTCTCGAATAGTCTTGTTTGTATTAGGGTTTTGACGTCACATCATCGCCTCGTTTTCAGAGGTCCGAAAAATCGGGAATTTCCATAATTTTTTATAAAACGTAGGGAGCTCACTGCAAGAAACGGTTTGCGGTGGTGAGCTAGTTTGGGTGAGTTCTATCGAATTATGAAATAAAATTTGTTTGTGATATAAGCCCATTATCATTGTAAACATTATTTTTTCAACCCAAAACCGTTTGTCTAACGGAAGAAAGTCATGGGGTTCTTTTTGTTAGCAACTCATTAGAGATCACAAAACTGATTCTAATTTCGATAAAAAACAGTGGCGTGCCATTTTTTAATGTAATGTAATTATTATATTTTGGTCAATATCAACGGTTCAAAAAAAGGTAGATGATAAATTATTTTCATTGAATCTTTAAAAAATTTATCCTCTTTTGGAACATATAAAAATTGATATATACCATTACATTTGTTTCTTTTGAGAAAAACTCGAGAATTTGCTAACATTTCATTTAACGCCATCTGGCGGCGACAGCAGAAGTCCAAACTTCAGAACCAAATAAGCGTTCTGTAGTGCAAATTATGCTTTTTTATATGAGCCTGAGTTTGCTATAATCGGTCAAAATAAACAGGAGAAATCTTGGTTTCTTTAAAAAAAATAATTGAACATTCCCCACTCCTTCATTTCGATAGATAGAACAAAACGATTTAGACCAAGAGTAATGTAAGGAAATGGTCAGTAAATATCAAAATGATATCATAAATATACCTACTTCCATTAGACAGAATTCTATAAAAATACCCTCTACTGGACGTTCGACAAACTCGAAAATAATTCCCAGCAATTTCTCTTGGCGACTTATATCATGATTTTTTTTTCTCAAATTTATACGACCCATATCTTATGAGATATGGCCGCTCGCTATCCTTATCTAAACACCCTGTACCCATATAAGTCAAGAAAACCATTGCAAAACTCCGTCTTTGTAATGTATACGTCATTAAATTCACACTGAGCGGCTCTACATATAGAATTCGCAGAGAATTTGTACAATAATGTAACATGAAAGAACTGGAAACCATAGAACATAATATTATATTGTTCGAGTGTCCAATTTATTGGGCAATGAAACCCCAATATTTCGACTCTTCATTTAACGTTGATGATCTCATCTATGCTCTTGACAATATTTCCGCAAAATCTACCAAGTTCATATCCAATTATATCTTGAACATCTTGAAACTCCGTTCTTTCGTGATAAATGAATGAGCTTTTTCTCACTATACTTTACCCTGTTTTTTCACTTGATGAGGTTTATTTTTGTTTGTATTCTTTGTATCTGCCTATAACTTCTTTTTTTTTTCCTTCATGTTCAACATTTATACAGGGTGTCCCATAAGTAATGGATCAAAAGAAGTGGGGTGGTAGGAGGGTCATTAGTAATCAAACTAACGGTATATGTTGTCATCAAATAGTTGATGGTTCAAGAGTTATTCGATTTTTTTGGAGGATGCGACCCATTTTGAGGAAAATTAATAACAAAAAGGCTGATTTGAATAACCACATATGTTATACTATTTCGGAATCTGTATGGGCAACTTCTTTTTATGATTGGTTATTTTTGTGGGGTAGTTTGTAAATCTGCCAGCGGCATTCAAAAATCGACTTGAATATTTCATTCGCTGACAAAACTCAAGGAAAACAAAATTTTTCTCAGGTAATTGATAAGAAGTAATAAATGTCATTATTTCTGGTGAGAGGTGCATCCATGTGGATGAAATTTGTGAAAGAACAAATCACAAAGTAGTAGATTTTAGCTCCAGGTTGTGTACATTATTCTGAAATCTGAAAATTATCGACGTGAAATTTTAAGTTTTTAACAGTATATAGGGACAACTGCGTTGTTGGCATCTTTATCATTATTTTGAAGTGATCAAATATTTGATGTCACTTCTGTCAGTCTGATTTTGTGATTTGATTTCAAAAAATTGCGAGTTTAGTGGTTTTTTAGTAATATACGTAACCGCGAAGTCGAATGGAAGAGAAAAGGACTTGCAGTTCTTTCTTGGAGACGGATTATTGACCCATTTTTCGGAATTATAGCACAACAAAACCATCAACAGTGTATATAATTGTGATATATATCCAGGAAAGAAGAACTCCTCTCTTTCACACGGGAAAAAATATTTTATGAAAAGTGACATTTAATAACCTGCCAACAGAGATGAAATGCCAAACTATTTTCCCGTCACAGAAAAAAAAACATTATTATTTTTTGAACCATCAATAATTGGATAACCACATATACGGTTAGTTTGATTGGAAATGACCCCCTTTACCACCCCACTTATTTTAATCCATAACTTATGGGACACTCTGTATATGTTAGCGCCTGTATTTTCGAATCCTTGCTATGAAATGTATATTTTTGAGGCAATTAATGAATTTGATTCTACATTGTGGTACAAGCGTATTCCAAAATAATATATAGTCTTCGAAGAGAAGTTTTATTCACACTGAGAGAAACTGGATATTAAAAATATCTACCAGCTCTGATTGTAATAACCATTATAAAAGAATCTCCTATTCCTGATCATTTTATTATTACAACAGTATTCTCTCCATTCTGCAATTATGAAAATCGCTTTCTTGAACCATTCGTAATACCTTCGAATGGACATTTGCTACCATCATAACGCAGGTGTATTATGACATTATGAGAAATTATTTATAAATTCCAGTCTATTTAGATTTATTATTGACATAGCTCGTTTTGTGAATTATGCTCATTGGCGAATTCAGATAATGTTTGTATCAATAATAATACCTGTTTGAATCGATAGAGCCGTGTCTTGTGGGTGGAATGTGTGTGATGTCGCAAAATTTTGTATAAGTGCTGGCTGTGAACCAAGCTGTGGAATACACCGTCTATTGCATTACTGCAATGAAAAAAGTATTCTCCATACCCACCTTTCACGGCCTAAAATTGGTTTATTTCGAAAACCAGAATGATCGATGAGATTCTGATGAATCAAAATATCTGGGATTCTGTGAGGGAATTTTTATTGACAATTCTCATCATGACTCTGAAGGAAGAGTAAATATAAGTATTCAACTTCTTATTTCTTGATAAATTCGTCAGTATGCACTGTATAATCTCTGGTATGCATAAATATGATATTTCTCCGAAAAAATCAATGGGTAATGTCAAAAAACTTACAGAAAAACCCAGATATTCCAATTCAAAGACTTAGCTTATATTTTTATGTTTTTTGAAAACAATAACTTTGGATCATGGAAAGTAAGTGTGGATAGGATATATTTATTTTCGTTGCTGTAATTCGGAGCACGGTTTCATAATGCATACCATCGAACAATGTTGATTAGATTACCTAATTACCACTGTTTGATGAATATACTACTAAAATATTGGGATAATTATTGAAAAAATTACAATAGCATGTCAAAATGTCATCTTGTTTCATGCAGATATCAGATAACTATAATAAAATGAGACGTATTACTGCTTTACCTCAAGATGGTTGTGCCAGTAATGAGAACATGCTGTTTTATGACGATAGTCTAATAACCACTGTAGAGTGGATAGTCACTGCAACATTTCATGGAAATAATTCCTATTCCACACTCTGTGTTATCAT